ACATTGCCATGCCAATGAAAGTTCATAGAACATTTGTTGTTCTCACTTGTGTAGGTTTATTGGTGGCTTTTCTACTAGTAAACAAAGCGTGCGGCTCGAGAAGCTATAAAGACTCTACTCTCGAAGTAGGTGGGGCCCACGAGCATGTGATGTCGAGAGAAGTGAATCGTGCACTCGAGGATAAGGAAAATACGAAGTTTGATCCGAATCAGACGAGCAAACGACAGGTCAAACGAGGATCTGACCCAATCCACAACCGAAGTTGATATTGGGAGGGAAAAATAGTGTTTTCAAACTCTAGAAAAAAAAAGGTGGTTTCTTCTATAGCTTTTTATCGAAAAACAATGTGAATGGTTTATCATCTGATTAAAGTTGAGAATCGCTTTTTTTTTTCTCTTTGGTTGCAAGGATGCCCGTGCGTCGCGAGCTAAGGTTCTATTTGGTTGGCTAAACTAATGGCTATATATCGTTTTTCGTGTTGGAGATTTTGGCGTGGAGCAAGGTGTATAAAGCCGGAAAATGATCTCCACCGTTGATTTGTTTGTGAGCATGAGGAGGAATTAAGAGGGGAGAAATATTTAGGCTTGTGAATATAGATAGCCTAATTGATTTAAGGATTTGTGTGGCTTTGCTAATGTTTGAAGGATTTAAGGTAGGTTTTGGATTCATTATTTCTTGTTTGTTGGGNTGATGTAACTAGGGAAGGGTAGTTTTGACTCTACTCGTTTTCTTCCTTGTTTGTAATTTGGCGCCATAAGTGATGAGTGGCAAGAACATATATCTGCATGTTTGTTTTTTATTTCACTTAATTTTTTTTGGGCTTTCTCGTGAGTATATATACATACCAAACGGCTATTTTTCGAAAATTTGTGTCTAGTTAAAAAAAAATAGATGGAAAGTGGATAAAGGTTATTTAAAAAAAAGTGAGAAAAGTTTAAAATTATGATTGTATATGAAATGAAAATATAAGAATACAGGTTTATTTTATGTAGAAATAATAAAAAAAATGATTAATTGTATTGTTAACTAGAAATATGAAAGTGGATAAATAGCATTTGTTCTTAAAATATATATAATAATGAATTTTTTTTTTTAGTTGTGTTGGTGGTATTTGAAGAGAAAAAGTGTGCAATTGAATGAATAGTCATTTTTGTAAAAACCTTTGTTTCGTTGTCGTTTTGATGAAATTAATATTATCCAAACAAGCAAGATTGAAAAAAATTCCGTATCCCTCCGCATTAATGAGAGCAAAGAATTTCTTCTCGTTTGCGACCGTAATTTAGTTTTCAACAACCCTTTTAGTAAATGTTTTCAATTAGTGACAAATACCCTAAAATGTTTTTTAATAAAAACACAAAGAATTAAAAAATAAAGTGCCACATTAATATAATACTTGATATAAAATTTGATATAATACAAGCACGACAAATTCTACGATTTTACGCATCACATCAATTTTAAAATTAATAATTTACGGACTTGTACAATTGCCCGTTATTGTTATCATGTTAAATTATCATTATTGGGTTAAATTAATAACATATACCATCATGTTGTGCGTCCAATATTATTCGTTTAAGTAGTAATATAACCTAAATTCTCTTCATGGGAGACAGATTCTTTTATCCCAGACATGCTATTGAGTAACTTTTTAAATTCGTGCTTCTAAACTACGCGAACTGATAGTGCCTCCTATTAACCTCATAATTAAATGATTAGCCTTTAATAATTACCAATTTATTAAAAAAAAGAAAAAAACATATAGAGCTTTTTAATGCATGCATGAGAATCAGTAAGTTGATAAACTTTAATAATACATGTATATTGCAATTTTAATTGATTTATAATATTTCTGTCTTTTTTATATATATTATACAAAATTATTGAAGACTAGTCTTATTATTCACGGTGGACTTGAAATAAGGGAGTAATAAACACAAGTAACCCAAATACGGGCCCATACTTTGGGAATGATGGGCCTGGTCCTAACACATGTTGAAAGAATATTTCTTTCACAATTCGACCCACTTTGTTTGTTCAATAAATGTTTTTTCATTTACACATGTCCACAAAATAATTGATAATTTGGGCAATGAATGACGTGGCATTATAAAATGATCTTGGTCATGTTTTGGACCGAGCTCATTGGTGTCAAATAATTAAACTAGTATGAAGTTTGATTTTAATTTCCAGAATATTTCTGCGTAATCAAACGATATTTTAGTGTATCCCTGACTTCTAAAGGAATATGTTTCATGGAAATCCTATTTTAGAGGTTAAATTATTATTGTCTTCTAAATAAGTGATCCAATTTCACTTTATAAAAGAAATTTTTTTTGTTGTCACTTGATTACAAAAATATATTAAGAATCTTGTGTGACTCAAGGTTCTGAAAATCGGACCGGTCATTGAATCGGTCAAACTACTAGTTCAATGATTCATTGATATGACCAGTGGTTGAACCGATATTTAATTTATTAATATTTTTAACCATATATGTTTTTTTATATAATAGATTTTTATATAAAAGCTTTGTTAATTAAATATTAAGACAATTTAGAACATTCAAATACTTAAACTAAGTAATAATAATTTATATATGTCCATTATATTCAAATATATATTTTTTATTTTACTGATAGAAATTAAATATATATATTTTTTATTTAAATATATATTTTTTATTTAAATAGCAACTAATAGTAGGCTGGTTATATATTAAGTTTTTAAATTTTGAAATATTACCAACTTAGGTAAGAGTCACGTTTTGGGTAATAAATTGGGGTACGTATCTGATGTTGGTTGTAGCCTTCATGTTTTTTGGTGGGTCCCAGCCCACATAAATTTTATTTTACTAGCCCAGCCCATGGGATATGTATCTAAGGCCCATTTAATATATATATTATAACAAGTGTCAAATATTTAAATAGGTGTAATAAACTAGGCCACATCAACACTTTGAGATCACATCCCACATTGAAAACACAAGGAAAACAATTCTGCTATTTAACTGACAATTTTGGGATGCACAAGTACAACCTTCCACAATCAAATGTTGGAACCGTTCAACCAGTTAAATTGGTCCTAGTATACCGGTTCGTCCGGTTTTGGAGCGGTTGGAACGATTCCTGAACGGTTCCAAAAGGGCACCGTGTCCTGGACATCCAGGTTGGTGACGTCCCCTTAAGGAACTCATAAGGATTATCGTATAAACCCTGCAGGTGGATTTAATCCGTACGATAATAAGGTTGAGTGGTACTACTTAAGGATTAAAAGATATTAATTAATTAAAGCAGTCAGAAGCTTTAGTAATTAATGGACGTGCGATATCTTAAACACGGGGAATTATATCGAGTCTAATAGAAGCCCTGATTCATTTCGGGATAGGACGGGAGTACAATATTAATTCTCTAGTGGAATGAATTAATATTTACGGGCCAAATTGTGTTCTGGGCTGAACATAAGAATTTGGGCCTGTAGGGAGCCCAAACCTTAAACCTTCTAAGAGATCCCTAGGCTGGCCCAAGGACCTCTATAAAAGGAGGGATTGCACGTCTTCAACCCTAACACATCATCAAAAAAACGTGACATTCTTCAGCCACCATCGTGGAGAAGTGACGTGAAGGGTTCAGATAAGACGAGATACAATCCGCTCTTTTCAACCGTTTGGTAGATCGTCGTCCATCCGGCGTCCAAACGTGGTCGGGACACAGGATGGCAGTTTTATGGAGTAAACTGGACCGGAATGCAGGTTGGTTCTCGGTCCAACCGGTTGAACTGGCCGGTCCGATTCGGTTTTTCAAAATCATGGTGTGACTTAAGCATCAAACGTCCCTCTCTCTTGGAGTGTTAGTTCCTCTGGTAAGAGTTTGCACCTTTTCTTGTCTCTCGTTGGCTTTGTGTTTTAACTTTGCAGATGCATGTCTTTCTTTTTGTTTTTATTGAGAAAGCTTCTGACATCAAAATGAACAGACAAGGTGAAAGCAGATCACCTTGTCTAAGACCACTAGTTGGAACCACAGACCCCAACACTTGTGACTTGCTCAAGAATGTTAAAAGAAAAGGAAGTAGTGCAGATGTTAGTCATGATCCAAGCGTTATATTTATCACAAAAACCCATATGATAACAGACTCTAGCTAGAAACTTCTACTCAACTCTATCATAAGCCTTGGCCATATCAAGTTTAACAACCATGAAGCAATCTCACTTTTAGATGTTAGGAAAAAGGACTCAGATTCTTTGATGTGGAAGTGTTGGCTTAGTACTAGAGAGGCTTTTAAGAGGGGTATTAGATTCCAAGTAGGGGATGGCAGGCCTATTGAGATTTGGAATTCACTTTGGATTCCAAATAGACCTTCTTTTAAACCTTAACCTCAATTTCAGAGTGATAGAGAAAGAATATTAAGGGTTTGTGAGCTCTTGAAAAATGGGAAAGAGAGTGGGATTTAGACTTTTTAAACAAAACCTTTAATCCTCACGATGTTGATTCCATTAGAAAAATTCAGATTAGCCACCTGTGGAGTAGGGACAAATTTGTTTGACAGTTTAATCATAATTGGGGCTTTTCTGTCAAAACAGCTTATGATTCCATCATGGCACATAAGACTCATTCTTAGTATTTGGCAAGTACTAGCAAAGGAGAAAACAAGCTAAGCATAATGTGGAAGGAGTCATGGAAGCTTCATGTTTTACCCAAGCTCAGACATTTTATCTGGAAGGTTTTTCATGGATTTATCAGCACCAAAGATCAACATGTTAAAAGGAGAGTGAAGCTGGATGAGGTGTATCCTGTGTGGTGAAAACAAGGAGACTGTAGGTCATTTATTCCTTCTATGTTGCCCAATTGTCAGGACTTGCTGGAAGCTGTTGTAGATAGGTGTTCATGGCAAATCCAGGAGGAAACTTCAAATCTTGGTGGTAGGAGACTTGCAACATTCCCAGAGCCAAGAAGCTACAAGAGAGGATAACCATCTATGTGTACCTGATGTGGCATGTTTAAAAAGCAAGGAACAATTTCATATTCATAGCTAAGGTGTTTCAGGAGAAGAATGAGGTTGATAGGGCTAGAAAAGACTATCTGAAATTAATCTTCTGCTTCTTCACAGCATTAGTTGGAGGCTCGGGTGAAGTCTGACCTTTGTCCTAAGTTCAATTTAGATAAATTTGATTTTGGGGTAGGACAAATTATGCTATCTGTCAGTGCTCTTGCTTCATCTTTTGAGAAAGTGTCCTTTAGAAGCTCTGCAGTCTAAGTTGGCCAAAATG